TGCAAGAAAAAGAGGCACTTGATAAAAGATTGTTCTATGTTGTAGAATAAAGAAAAATTGGTAGCAAATTAGTAATAAGAAATTTTATGGGAAGCTAGAATTGCAAAAAATTGTCACAGTCGCGGAGAACTTCTAGATTCTTGGTACAACTTGCACTTTTCATCTTTATCCTAATAGGAATTTATTTTCAACATATGAAACAATTACAAAAGGTGTTGTAGTAATTGAAAATAAAACACCTTATACAATGACTAGTATTGGCTGAGTTAGAATAAAGATGTTTGATGAGATGGTTAGAACAATTGATGCAGTGAGACATGTTTTAAATTCGAAGAGAAATCTTATCTCTTTAAGTATTCGTGATTTAAAAGAGTACATGCACACTGTTGAAGATGGAGTCGTAAAGGTTAGTAAAGGAGCTCATATTTTGTTGAACGAATACACAAAATCCCAATTATTTGTCTTACTGTGTTACACAGAATCTTTGATCAATTAGGATATTTTAAGAACTCAAGTGGTTTTGGAGTTGAATTATGTATCGTTGGAGTTTAGTTTGGGGCCTTCTTTGAAAAATTCATCTTAATTAAGTTGAGAAGTTATCAATAATTTCGCTTTGCTACCATAATTGATGGTGCCATTATATTCAACTACTAGTAATATACCCATTTTTGATCATAAGCCTCCATACAGGTACAATGTTACCGATCTAGTTGCTTATGGTTTGAATCTGGTTAAAGATGTTGATTCTAGCTAATATCATTCTTTTGATGCATTAAGTTTTGGTGATTCTATTTCAAGGCTTATTTGTGCCATGTTTGGTGATGTCCAAGCCCAGTGCTTGGAATTTTGTTAATACATAGTTATTGAGTTTTGCCATAGTTGTGTGGCAGACTTTCGGAGAATGTTTTCAGTTGGAAAATTTGATGGAAAATTTCGTTTGTGTTTTTGTTGAAGAGTTGAATTTTATCCCTTGTAATGGAATTTATCTCTAGTTGGAGAATCTTTAAAGTTTGTTTGTCAGTATGGGGTTTGTTAGAATTATGGTATGACCTGAATTCTATTTGAAATGTTATTTGGAATCCTATTTGACGTATATTTGGCAAATTCCAGTTGAAATTCTATTGGAAGCCCTATGAGGTTGAAATTTTTGGAGGACTTGAAGATGTCAAGATATGGATCAGGGAAATTTTTTTATGCTTTTTCGCTAGTTGGTCGCTAGTGTATCACTCAAACAACACCATCGCAATTTAGTCCTAAGAGCTAGCTCCTACTTGGTGGTGGTGCAACACCAACACAACCCTCCTGGAGCTCAAGCGGCAAATCATTCGGCCGAAATCGATTTTCACGTTTTGACGTGTTTTTTGAGCATTCATTTCCATCTATAACTATACTTTAGGTCATTAGGTTAGACAAAGTTATAAAAGCACAAAATCTTTGTATTCTTTCTCCATATTTTAGTGAAATCTCATTTACTTTGCAAATTGTTTTGTTATTATGATCAATTACTTCATATTATGCCTATAATTTCATATTTTCTTCTACAAAGTGATATTAGAGCAATCCATATCATCTTCATTTTTTTTAACATTACAATTGTACTAGGTTACTTTTCTAATAAAGGCGTTATCTAGAGCATGGAAATAGATATCTGAGGGCTAGTAACTAGAGTAGCACTTGAGTATTTGAACTAACATGTATTGGGGGAATTGAGGGTTTTTCAATAGTGATTTGAACTTTTTATGCTGAAAGCTTTTAGTGGAGGCAGATTTTTTGTGAATTTATCAACGGTGGTGATCTATCAACTTGTTTACCACTGTATAACCCTGTTCGATGGCGATTATTTTGCAAAAACAAAGTTTTGAATAATGTGTAGTTAAAAAGTAAAAAAATATTTTGGATTTATGTGCAAAGTATTTTATTGTGTAATTGTATGGTTGAAAATGAGTATGTAAAATAAATAGTTTTGAATAATGATTGTCAAGTAGAGGCTTAAAGATGGTTTCTTAGCCATAACAAGAACACCGATTGCATTGATCTTTGACACTGAATTTGGTGGTGCAATCGAACGACTACTTTTGGAAGGGCTCTTAGAAGTAGACATTATGCTCCATGTCTTCTCCATTGAGCATAAATCCATATAAACCACATCTTTGGCACTAAGATTTCTCTGCTATGAAATAACTTCATCCTCCTATAAAGAATGTAGAAAAATCAAATGAATCAATGTGCTTCTGCCAACAAAGAACTAGTTGATTCAAGAGTAAGGAGGATTTGATAAAAAACGGTGTCAGGATTTAACTTTTAAATATTCAAGATGACTCCTTAAAACTAACTATGTCCAATAATTAAAAAGCACAAAATGAGAACATCTAGGTTAAATAAACGAGCCACAAATAAGGAGCCATAATGCAGCGTTTCACTTGCATTAGCAGGTGGGGAAAAATCATCAAAAGATAAATAATACATGTTAGAAACCAGCAAAGTAAGAGCAAATGAATAATGGGATCAAGAAAGGATTGCCTTACTCTTTTGGTTTATCTAATGTGCTACATAGAAAACATTCATGAATAACTTCAACATTGAACATTACTAAGCTCCTATTTGGTATCGCTAAAAGATCTTTTTAAAATCTAAGTTAAAATTAACAAATAATTTTAACCACATTGTTGAAGAGAGAAATCTGATCAATAAATTCTTCTCACCTAGCTAAAGCTTTACCTTGTAAACTCATTGATTCTGATATTCAAATAAGAGCAAGAAAATAATTGACTATTTGGGCGAGAGATATTTGAATTTGCATAGTTTTCTTCTCTTAGATAGAAATATTTATAGATTTCCTTTCAAGATTTGAGGATAATCGTGTCATTCTGAATAAGCAATAGGTGGCGACTGAACGTTTGATTTCCCGTAAGTGTACGGTATCGCGAACAAGTAATAGAGTGATGAATGAGATATCATTTCTACGAGAACTATGTATTCAATTTAGAATCGACCAATTCTGACTCTAATCGAATAGCCAATAGTGTTGAATTGTTTATAGTAATTTATCTAATTAAACTAATAATTATAGCGAGCAAATTATAGGCTTTTATAAAGTTAGATGAGATGTTACTAAGACCTAGAATCTCCTTTATTAATCCATTTCAATGTAATTTAATAACATGATAATATGTGCATATTTTGGTTGATCAATATTTCTAAGTTAATTAAAACATCTCTCGATGTCAATTTAATCTATCCTCTCATAGGACCTTCCAATTTCTTTATGGAAGATGTGAATATGAAAGTATTCAATAAAAATGCTAGAATATATATTAAAATCTTTATCATAAAGGAATCTAAAAGCATTAAACGTAATTATAATGCATGGGATGATTTAAATGGATTGATAATGGTCAAAGTTGACTCTCCCTTCCATGAGATATTCATTAATTTATTGATTTTAAATTAAAGTTGGGACAAAATTATTACAGCTTTTACCAATGCGCATGTTTCCATATAAAACAAAGACAGAAAGTGAGGTTAACAGAAAATTCAAAATAAAAATCCCACACTTCCTTTAGTTTCTCATCATCATTCCTTATTTACAATATTGCTATATAATAATTTTTTTGTTTCCTTTTTTGCGCTGCGTAATTATTGTTTTCCTTATGATCTTATAAGTTATCTTATGATTTGAAAAATTAATCGCTGACCCCTCTTCAAAAATAATAATAATAAGCATACAGAAAATAAAAAACAAGTAAAGGAAATATAAGAATATAGTTTTTTTTTTTTAATTTTGAAAATGTAATAGAGATATATTTAGAGCTTGTTTGGGAGTGATTTTAAGAATTGATTTTTTGACCGTTAGGAGAAAAGTGGGGTCCACCTGTGAGACGACGAAGTCAAATATGATGGCTAGAATAATGAAATAACGGTAAAAAAATTAATTTTTTGGATGAAAAAATCGCTCCCAAACAGGCCCTTAGAGTGTTATAAATTTATAAAAGTAGAGTGAATGTATGATGTTCAAATGAATGAATTTAATAAATGCAATATTGAAATGTAAGTTAAATGAAAATAATATTTTTTAAAATTTTTAATATGAATAGACATAAAGTGAGATAGATATAAGGTAAATAAATAGCGACTGCCTAATTATTATTAATAATTTTTTTAAAGAGAAATAGAATGATTGATGAGAATATTCCTACCTATATAGGAATCAATAGTTCCATCTAGGGCATGCATTTTTATAGAAACTACCTTACCTGAACCAAAATTGAATTTAACTATTTGTTAGATCCGATTCTAGTTGAATTTGTTTCAACACTGGGTCTTACAAAGAAAAAAATCAAATGGTTCGTGTCAAGTTCTTGGTTCTAGCTGCAAAACTAATTTTTATTTAGTTTCATTTTTTTAATATAATCTCTCAATAAAATCATAATATATCTAAGTTGATACTAGAAATTGAGAGTTTTGTTGTTTATATAATACAAGTAGGGTCGGACCTATGAAAGGACGACTGTTTGCGGTTACCCCCATTGGATTTTCAAATGCGGATTTTTAAATTCAACTTTTCAAATTTATTTTTATTTTTTTGGATTCTTTCCCAATTCATTTGAAATATATATATATATATATATATATTATTTTTTATTTTTAACCTAAATGTGTCTCGTGTGAATTGAGCCATAATCCTGAGTCCGTCCCTAAATACAAGGCGTGAAACTGAAATAAAAAATATATATATATATATGTGAATATTTACACTTTAAAATGTATTTTTGTAATATAAAAGAATTAAATATGAACAAATGGTTTTGTGGAAAAAGTACAACCGGATCAAACCACAAGTTAACGAGATCACAGGGAAATAATAATAATAATAATAATAAAATTTGAACGAGGACTCAAGTGCTTCAGAGGGTGAAGTTTAAGGACCGTAAATGTAAATGTTCCTTTCCTACGAAAAAGAATTGGATCGAAGAATTCGACTCTAAATAGATACACATATTCCAAGAGAGAATCATAGAATATAAGATTGGAGATCGAAAATGCTGCAGGAAATCGCGTCGCCGTGTATCTTTATAAATATACTCTTTAATGCCTTAAATCGCTTGGACCTCTCGAATATTGAAGTCCAATTGGACTCAATTTCTACTCCTGTGTGCTGTTCAATCTCTTTTGGTTTTTGGATTCTCCTTATATTTCCTAGTTTAATGCGCGAGGATACTACGGATTTCGGTCAATCCAGCACGTGACGGTCTATCCGCTTTTTACGGGTTCAGTTTCGTAATTTTTGTAATTCCTAAGAGTATTTACGGAATTTCACTGCTTCAGTATCTCTATATAAAGACGTTAGATCTAGGGTTTGTTGCGTATGACTAACGCGCATCCTCTTCTTCTTTGATCTGTCAAAGTTTAGAATTGAGACAAAACAAAATTTTGCAAGTTCAAAGGTGTTGAAACTTGTGCTTTCTAATCCTTTCTTTTGAAGGTTTTTTCTTATCTAGTTTATTTGGATCTATGTGCCTTGATTAGTGGAGGCCTCCAATTTAAAGGCCTAGCCAAAGATTTGGTGCCCCCATCCATGGAGGTCTCCTGTCATAAGAGTGACATGATTTCAGTAGAGCAATTTGAATATGCTATATTATCATATTGGTTTTACTAGAATTGTGTCAGATTAACGCTTGGCAGTATTTCATCGATAAATGGTCCAAAAACATTTTTCAATTACCAATAAAACCAAGTGTTAATCTGGCACAATTATGGTAAAATCAATTAGAGGTGGGAAGAGTTACAAAAATTAATTTGATTTATATTTTGGTAGACCTAACAATGAATAGAGCCAATTGAAAGGACTAATTCCAAAATTATTGAGAATATATTCTTTTAAATCTCGTAGTAATGAATCAAATGAATTAACAAATATCACATATAATTTTGTTAGAACATTACTTTTCAAGTTAGGGGTAGCAATCCTCATATTTAGTTTGATTTCTTATTCCTTTTTGGCTCTCTAGGGTGTTCCTTTGGTTGAAGGTAATTTAGTTTTGTGATTTTCAAATGTAGGCAGCATAGATGTACGTGCTTGACTAATAAATACTTGTACATGTTTGTGGAATGCTATGTCTTGTTCCTTTAGAAATCTTTACCTTGTGATAATGTCTGTATAACATATCGTTGTGTTTTTGGTGGGCATAGGTATAGTGTTATTATTAAACCATTATGGTTAAGAAAAGAAGTCTACCTTTCAAAGTTGGAGATGAAGCGGAGGCAAGAAGTTTTGAGACGGGTTATCGTGGTGCATGGTTTCGATGCAAGGTATTATTAAGCCCTCATTTGGGCTCCATTTTATGAGGCATTGGGAAAATGTATTTTGAAATAGTAATTTTTTTAGAGTATGTGGTTGACAAAGAAGGAAAAAATTTTAGTTTACGTGTAATATTATTTTATTAAATAATATGCAGTTGAAAAGAAAAGAAGAAAAATGTATTAAGATTAAAATGAAACCCTAACAGGGATTAAATGTGAAGTCTATGAGTAAGCTTAGGAAATATATCTAATTTTTAGTTTAGCAATGTTTGATGATAACATGCTTACAAGCATGGGTATCATACTTGACCTGGTCATTGACTTAACTAAAGCATTGGGTGAAATGACCAGGTTTAAGCACTGGTTGAATGGGTGATTTACCTACCTAACTAGTGGGTCATCATTAGAATCAAAAGTCTAAATAAACATATTTTTCAAATAAATATAAATAAATTTTCATAAATATTTTCAAATGCTGCTAACATATATTTTTTTAATCTTTTTTATCAGTAGTTGAATTGATATGTGAGGAAGAATTATGCTAAAATAAAAATTTTAGATAATTCTTGGAAAATTAAACTTCCGTTAAGAGAAGCAAATGAAAGGATTTCAAAATAATAAGAACCTCCCCTTTCTACGAATTCCGATCTTCCTCTTGGTTAGATTGTGTGCATGAGGGCTTATTTTGAGAAACTTTAGAAGTTGAAGACATATGCATCAGTGGTCGTTTCTTCCTTTTATCATGCTTGTTTTTGAACCTCTCGACATAACCATCTTTCTTCTACAATCCCTTATTCGATATGTATGAACTCATGAAGCGAGCTCAATCTATTCACTATTTGATTGCTGGAAATTGCGATTGAGGATGACTTTATCAATTGCTATCTACTTAGATACCTTCTAAAGCATTTTTAAATACCTAAGGGGTTGAAATACTTTTCCATGAGTAATTCTTCTAGAAAGCCAGAGCAAAAGCCTCAGAGATGACCTCTGTTCCCATAGTAATTTTCCTTTATACTTCATAAAGGACTAGGTCTCCCAAACTTGGTAAGAGAGGTAGCTAATCCTCGACAGCTAGGTTTGTGATAGAATCCAACTATATCAATAATCAAAGAAGAATTTAGGAACAGCGATTGTGTCTATTTATTGAAGAAACTATAGCAACAGTAAAAAAAGTAACAAGAGTCCTTTCCAGAGGACCACTCTCTCCTATTATCACTCTTCCTCACGTCTTTGATGCCCTTCCTATTCTAGCTACTGTTCTACTTTAACCCTTGTGTAACAACTTTTTTTGTCCACCTCAGCCACTGAACAAATTTTGTTGTTGCCCTTAACCTTCTTGATCCTTCTAGAATAGGTGTATTTGATTGGGGCTCTTACCCCTCCCATTTTAGTCACCTTGTCCTCAAGGTGGAAAGTATTCTTGATTGTTGTTGTCCCAGCATCCTAACCCGTTCAACTCTTGCTTGCTTGAAATAAGTTCCTTCCTCTCACTACCGTCGGTCATGACTTTGCTCTCCATTGTCTCTTCCAGCTCTCTAAGTACAAGAACTTGGAACTCCTTATTCTTACACTTGTGCCCAATTGTAAATTTCTCATCGCAACGATAGCATAAGCCTTTTCCTCTTTTTGTCTGAATTTCTGCGTCTGTGAGTTGTTTGGGATATTTGGTAAAGTGGTTTGGACGAGTTAGGATAAGATTTAGGGGTACGGGTTGTTTGTTAACTGGATAGGGAAGTTGGGCTAGATTTAAGTTAAGAGAAGGGGGTGGATTTGGGATGTGAAAGGGGATACTCTTGGGTTTAATTGGGTCATCCTGCCTTGGGCCCTTTTGGGTTATTAGATTTCGATCTTCAACCATTTGGGCTACTTTTATTATTAGTTCTAGGCCCAATGGCCTAAGTAGATGGACCTCAGCCCTAATATTTGGCCTCAGTCCATTGAGAAAATTACACTCCAGTACCTCTTCTGATACCTCTGTCAATGGCGACGCTAGGGTCTCAAATCTTCGACGATACTCTAACAGTGGTGCTTTGCCGGAGGGATAGGAATTGCGTACAAAACGATCTCTCCTGTGATGGTTTGAATCTTCGCAACAACCTGATTTTCACCTTTTCCCAATTTTTCATCAATCGGCGTTTTTCCTCCCATTTGAACCAGATCAGCATCTTCGTCGAAACACACAGCATCAGCGTCCATCTTCTCTTCCTCCGTCAGCTCATTGATGTGGAAATACCTCTCAACACGAAAAACCCACGCATTTGGATCAGATCCTTCAAACACGGGCATTTCTAGCTTCCTCATGCGAGGCTCGATTCTCCAATTATCGCCTGACCCAACTCCTCCATTGTGACTACAGCCTACTCTTGTTTGTGTTAAACTGGAGTCAGTCGGTGTTACTGATGTTCTCTCCATAACCGCCCCTTTTTCCTTACTGTCCTTTTCTTGCCTTTCCCAGGTGCACAACAGCAGATCGAACTTTTCCACCATGCAAGAATGCATTAGCTGAAACTCTGCTTGCAATGATTCTAGGCCGGTTTGAAGCTCCTGATGGTTGCTATATACTTTCTTCTCTAAATCATTCACCCTATCTATAAGAGTCATGGTGTTGTGAGTTGATGTGGATGCTCTAATACCACTATGATAGAATCCAACTATATCAATAATCAAAGAAGAATTTAGGCACAACAATTGTGTCTATTGATTGAAGAAGCTACAACAATAGTAAAGAAAGTAACAAAAGGCCTTTCGAGAAGGCCACTCTCCTATTATCACTTTTCCTCATGTCTTTGATGCCCTTCTTATTCTAACTACTGTTCTACTTATAACCCTTGTGTAACAACTTTTTTTGTCCACCTCAGCCATTGCTTAACAGATTCTATTGCTGCCCTTAACCTTCTTGATCCTTCTAGAATAGGTGTATTTGATTGGGGCTCTATCAGTTTGAAACTTGCAAGATACATGTATACTTGATCCTCAACAATATACTTGCCGTGCTTTTCAATATTGGCTAAATGGTTTATATCATTAGGCAATAGATATTTGAGTTAATATATAGTTAAGTTCATTATAGCATTTAGCAAGAGGCCGACCACTTTGACTCGCATAGAACTTCATCAATTCATATAATGCGAAGAATCAGAAAGATCAAGATAGTTCCTTTCTATTCTATCTCAAACTTCTTTAGCCATGCGACACTTAGAAAATGTGACATTTGGTTGTCAATCGAGCCAAGACTTGACTAAAGCATCTTTAAACTCCCATTCTTCATAGCTTGGATCTTTCTTGTCGGTGCAGCCATTCGTCTCAATATATAGCCCTTTTCTTCGGACCCATAATATGCATTCTAGAATTTTAGACCTTACATGATGATTAGCTCATCTAAATTAATAGTTGAGGTAGTGTTGCAAATAGTCAAAGAAGGACAATTCTTGTTGCCAAAAGAGCTTGTAATAATTTTGTGACCCCATTGGTAACTATGTTTTGAATTAATCACCAACACAATGAAAGACCTCTATTTGTCAAGCCCCTAAGGCTTATAGACGGTCGAGTCTACTAAGAGCAAGGGTTGTACAACTCTGAGAAGGGTCGATGGATTGTAGTGAGAATAATAGAAGGTTCGTACTAAATTCGTACCAAATGTCTATGTTGACTAAGATGTTGACAGCATAGCTCTAGGAGGCAGCTAGAGGGTTGCAACATGATAAAACTTGACACAAACTGAAACTTCAGGGATCAAATTTGACCATTCAAGTAGTTCAAGGACTAATAATAAGATTCTAAAATCTCATGAAGTAATATGCGAAATTTTAAAACCTCATTGACCAACTTACACAATTTGGAAAACTACATACGAACTAGTTTAAAAAAGATTAAGGACCTATTATAACTTTTCAAAAGTTTAGGAACTAAGGTGTAAGATTTTGAAGCCTATGGGACCAACTTACATAATTAGAAAAGATTCAGGGGTAGATTTTGCAATAATTTCCACTTATGATCAAAGAAAACCCATATGCTTCATTACTACATACATAGCAATAAGTTAAAATGGATTTCATATTTGTAATTGGACTTCTATTCCAGCTTTATTCATCGAAAATTGGCGCAATATCATAATTGTCACCACCCAAATTCAAGTGTCCTTAATCCTCCATTTACTTTAATGTGAAAAATAGGTGCGTTGTCGTAACCTTCATTTTGTATAAACATTCATTTACTTCCTAAGATTGAAAAGGTAAAAATATTATCGTCCTCGTCGAAATTTGGAGGATATCAAGGTAAATATGAAACATCCACTTCCTTTTTAAGAAACTCATTTAGGTAGATTTTTACCTAAAATTTAGAGGATATAATCTGGAACTCCTACAATGGTGTTGCCACCACTCCATCAACGACTCAGATGTTGCCACTACTAAAGAGGACGGATGGATCCTTCTCATGATTTCTCCAAGAAAATAGAGCGCTTATGATGTTGCTTATGATACAAAAAGATCACACAAATGCGATGACTTATGTACTTGTTGACATAGGGCTAGGATAATTTAGCAAACGGTGACAACCCATTTACCCCTTTTAGCTAACAAGTGATTACAATTGCCCCCACAACTGTTCAACCGCTTTTCTTCGAATTTCAAATGTCTTTCCCAAGGCATTTGGTTCAATTCAATGGTGATACTTCTTTTGATGATGATGTATTTAGTGTCAAGAATTTGGTTCCATGAGATTTGAGAATGCATTAGATAACCAAGTGATCCCACCGAAGGTTGATGCCTAGACAAATTGTAGCAGGATTTCGACTTTAGTTTATCTTAATTTACAACACTTTAATGTTATCTAACTATTTATTGCAATGTTGGAATAATAGTTTAGTAAAGGGTAATTCTTCTTATTAAATCCAGTTTGGGATTGGTTTAAAGTTCCAAATACTAATGGCCTAATTATTACATCTATATCTGGCATTTGGTGAACTTGATAAAAATTTCATGAAGAAACAATCTTTATAATGATAGATAAATAAAGTAGTAAATAAAATAGATAAATAAAGTAGCAAATAATATGAAAACAGTTGCCCAACAAGCTAAAGCTAGTAATATAAAGCATAGAAAAGGCAAGACAGATTCACAAACACCTTAATTTGCCACGAGGCTTAGTCTTGAGCCTTAAGCCTCACTAAGATGAGGTAGGAGCCTTATTAAGCATTGTAGGCTTAAGCTTTGAGGCATTTAATTTACATATTGTCGAGACTCGAGGTATAAGCCTTAAAAAGTTTGTGTAAAAGATGCCAATAAGGAAAGCGACTTCGAAGAGAATGTAATGTTTAGGACTATAGCTCATTGAAGAGATTCTATTCAGTTGAAAGATGCCTATAAAGAAGAAAACCAATTATTACAATAATTGTTTGATCAGTTATACTTTTGGTACTATGTGTTTATATCATAACATTTGGACCACCAGTAAATAATCACTAGGACCGTTAGATTTCCACGACTGGTCTCTAATCTTAACAAGATAGCCTTTGTAGCAGGTGTTACCTTCTCGTGAATTCACGATTACTAGTTTAGTGCAATATATTAAGTCTTAATTTGCACTTCACTGTTGTATCGTTCGATGTCATTGCTTCACTAGGTTTTACAAAGTTGCACACACGAAAAGAACGTGATACGATACCGACACATGATTTTTCTGAAAAAGGATATGAAGAAAAACTAATTTTATTTTTTAAATTATTTTTATTGTGTTTAAAATGTGAAAATAATGGCATTTTTTGAGTAAAATGTACTACAATTTTTTTGTCAGGCGCTGAATTATAATTTAAGACGAACCATTCTCTGTTAATACACTTGGGGATTCTACTATTAACCAATAGCTGGCGATCGGTAGTGGTTTCTACTCGTAAGCGAATTTTCATTGTCTTCCGCCTCTTCTTTTGTCGTCCATCACAATTTAAATCTAGCTTTTCTTTTCAGATGAGTTTCTCCTTCCCTCGCCGATCTGTCGGAGCGTGCTGGTTTTCTTCTGCTTCTTCTTTTCCTTCAACTTCCCTTCCATGCATGGCTTCCATCTTCATGCCATTTGCTCTTTTATTTTGACAAATCCGAGCTTGGATCCCATACCTTTGTCGTGTCATGTTACAAAGTTGGATTCAGTTTGTGATAGATACTCGTGGTCGTTAATCAAGCCTAAATATTATGTACATAAATTATCATTCTGCTTCTCAAAGTAGAAAAGAATCTTCTTTTCAACATCAATACTGTCACTGCAAAGAATTATAATGATGAGTAACGAGAAATGCCAATTTGAGGTGGTCTTATTTCTTTACCATTCTTAGAATGTTATCTTTGTAAAATCTACCTGTGATTTAACAAAATGATGTTTTAACAGTAACTTGGAAGCAAAATTCCACTTACCTTTATCTGAAATTCTGTGTTTATTTCTCTTATTGTTTCTTGATTAGTTGCATATATATTCTGCTAACTTCTTCTTGAGTGGTAATCTTTCAAAGATGCAAAATAGTAATAATATCTTCTCTTTATCTTTTTGATCAGATACGAGAGATCAGCCAGAGAAAGGGAGATATCGAATATCTCTTAGAATATTTTGACTTTCCAGAAGAAAGTAAGTTAGCTGTATATCTTCTAGTAGATGTCTTCTTTGGCTGGTGGTTAATGATTTAGCTTCCATAAACTAATGCTTAAATATTTGCATAAATTGGTATTAGATTCTGTGGAATTCTGCTTGAATAACCTAAGTATTTCTTATATTTGGAATTCTTATTCAATGGTGTAGAAACTTCTGTTCTGAATTAATGGATATCGAGATAAATTAAGATAAAGATGGAAATAGAAGTTAGTTAGGATTTTAAAATAAGAGTTCAATTTGCATTATGATTGTTTAGATGAGATTAAATAAGATTTAATATTTCGATAAGATTTAGTTTATTAGAAGTTCGTTTATTTTTAGCTTCTTTTAGATTATTTGTTCTATAAATAAAGGGCTTGTTCATTGTAACGTATAGCCTGATTATATGGATATAAATTAATTCCCTTGGCCCTCAATTCTTCTCTTCTTTGCACCCCTTTCTTTTCTTAATTTTCGATTGGTTGTTAACAAATTATACTATCCAGTGTCATGAATAGTTCATCAAGTATGCATGTTTTTCTATAGCATATGAGATGAACAAAGGGATTTTTAATGTAGCAGTGTTACGAGTAGATGACAACTAATTATCTTTTGTCAGAAGATGCTTAGAAGCACTTGGAACAACTATATACACTAGTATTGAAGTTCTTGACATTAGACAAAAGTGTTTACATTTTAAACACATGGATCCAGTACAATGTTGATTTGGTCACCTTAAGAGATAATAACCTAGCAGTTTGTTGCATTATGGTTATTAAAGAGAGACGGGAAAAATGTAGAGATCAGGGCTGACAATGTTTGACATTTGTAGTTTAGCTAATAATTTCCTTACGGAAATTGTAGTCTTTTCTATCTCTTGAGTTGAGTGTATTGGAAAAACTGTTGAACTATGCCAGGAAGAAGTGATGCAGAGAACTAATCTGTAACACTTATATGAAGAATAGAAATTGGAGATCTTTAAAGCGAGAACCTCTTCCTGGGCCAATATTGTGAACGGAAAAATTGTCCTGACTTTTTGCATGTTGTATTTATTTGTGTAGGTGGGATGGGAAATTGGAGATTATCATTTCCTTAAAACTATAATTGCTTGTGACCTGGCCATGATACTTCTTAGTTCTTTAATTGCTTTATTTCTTTTTTGTTGTCATGTGGTAAAATCCTTTGAAGCGAAGTGATGTTTGAAACTATGGATGACAGTATGACAAAACTGAAGACTGATTCATCTACTACTTCACTATTCTTTATCATATATCTTGCAGTTTTTTCCATCATGATTATGCATAAAATTATCACATCAGATGTTCTTGCATTTCCCGCTTCCTACTTCCTCAATTTACACACACACACACACACAGAAATACATACATACATATATATATACATATACATATACATATACATTATAAATATACATACATGTATATATATATGTATATATATA